TGTATCTTTACAAAAAAAAATGGGAAGGCTTAGCCTACCCCTGTTCCAAAGCCAAAACTATACAGGGTACATGTACATACAAACTCCACTATTTACAACATACATTGTACATATAAATATACGATTAATTTGTCATTATATGATCGAAAGTAACATACCCGACAAGTCAATCATTAAGAAAGAATATACGGTATATATATAGTTTTCTTAAGGAACTATAATTGCATATCATATGTAAATTGAGGATGTGATTTCATGAAATTTGAAAACTTAAACCTATTTAAATAGTAACCGGTGCCGTTGTCTAATAGTAGCCGTAACACAAGATTCTCCTAATAAAAACGCTCTAGCTTGTAAGAAACCCATGAAAGCGGACAATTATATAGAATAACCAATAATATTTACAACTAGAGCCGAGCTCGTTGCAAAGCAACGAATAGGTCTTCCGTTGGAGCTACGGAAGGGAAGACGTAACCTTGAGTCTAGGTCAAACCATTCGAAAATTATTTAAGTAAGCAACCCAAAGGCTTGTTGAGGAAGCAACTTACAATGTTTCGCCAGGAAAAAGACTGTAAAAGAATGTTATGTGCATGACCTTGAACTTTCTAAATGACCTTGCAACAAGCAAAGACAAACTCTGTTATAAAAATACATACTCTGCGTGTTACCGAGTGGAAAAGTTCACGTATGTTTTTTTTTTAGATATTCTTTTAGTTCATATCCAACCAAAACATCTTATCTTAAGTGATCTAGAACTTGAGACAAGGTCATGCCCCACCCTGCATTATATGAGCAATGTTTCACTGGTACAAATACGGTTGAGAATTTAAAGTTTCTCTGTCAGTAACAATGACTCGTCCAAAAGACTGAATATGTTCAGTCAAATTTTTATTGAGCATATATCGAATCGAAAGAATTTATTAGGTTCAAAACTATGATTTACATGATGATTTATTTAGAAATACGAGTGTATGACGTTTGTTGAGAATATCTTGAATAGATTCTTAAAAATTGAAATCTAAAAAATGGAAATTCCGTTCAGATAATGCATATAGGCATAAGCTTACAATAAAATATCTCAAATGGTTTCTTTAATACTATGCAAATTGCAAATTAAAGACAAGTGAGGTCAAGGTCACAGGAAAGTGCAAGATCAAACTGTATCAGTATACTAAAGTTTGATAAAAATGTCTTGAATGGATTTTTCAAACTGAAGGTCGCCCGTTTGGCACAGTAGTTAGAGCATCTGTTATACACTAAGGTTTGGATAGCTCTCATAAGTGTGTACAGTGTATCAGCATATGAAGTTGAGTAAAAATATATATGCTTTCTTCAAAACTGAGCTTAATACTCAATGAATTAGGTAAGGTAAGATCAAGGTGAAAGGAGAGGTCAAAGTAAAAAAAAAAGAGGTCAAAGTAAAAAAGAAGTAAAAGAATACTTATAGTCTTTAATGGTATGTTTCTGAGTTAAACACTAACCTGAGAAAAGTTAGGTTAAGGTCAAAGGAAAGGTAAAACAAAATGTTGATGCAGTTACAAACGTGTAGCTAGCCTACAGTATGTATCAGCACATATCAGTACATATCGGCACATGAAGTTTGATGATACTATCTTGAATGGTCTCTTTAGACAGAATTCATAAAAGGTGATATTAAGTTCAAAGGAAAGGTCAAAGTTAAAATATGTTGATGCAGGAAAATAGCTCTCATCAATGTTTATCAGCATAGGACGTTTAATATAAAAAAAATTGAATAGTTTCTTTGAAATTGAGCTTTAAACTGAGGTAAACGCAAAGCGGGGAAGAGGGACAGACGGAAAATGGAAGACGTACATGACAAACAATATATGCCCGGCCATTTTCATGTGGAAGCATCAAAGTTTCAATGAGAATGTTTTATTTGAAATTTGGAGACTTGTGAAATGATGCGTGGAGACCGATCCTATGGATGAGACCGGATAAATCAAGGTCTTGTGTCGGGGTAGGTGCTGGCATGAAAAGGATCAAAGCACCTGATTTCATCAGGAATAAAACTTGAAATCAATAAAGTGTAAAAAGCAAATACGATTGATTAAAACAAACTATGAGATAGAGTGAAATAAAATACCATATAATGGGTAATTTTTACTGCTGTATATTTTTACAAATTTGGGTCAAAAAAGGTGATTTAAATTTTTATACGGTGATCTTTTACGAATTGAATATGTCCGTAAAAATTCAAAGCATCAGACGTAAAATTCCAGATCACATTGAATGCATTTACGTGTACAAATAACGTGTCCAAAAACCCTATGTAACTTGTAAGAGAAAGAGAGAAAGAGAGAGTGAGAGAGTTATTAAACACATGTTAATTTGATATAACAATATAAACAATGCAAACAAATTACATAATGAATTGTATACAGGCGCAGATCCAGAAATTTTTTCCAGGGGGGGGGGGGGTTCCACCTCAGTCAAAAAAAAATCATATCCGGAAATTTCTTGACAAGCAAAAAAAAAAAAAAAAAAAAACGTAAAGTAACACTCCCCCTAACGTTAAAAACTATTTCGTTAGGGGGGGCGGTAATGACTTCTTTTCTTCTTTTGCCTCAAATCTTTAACTTTTCATACCCATTTTACACATATAGTCCAGGGGGTCTGCGTTTTCCAAGGGGGTCCATGGTAATTTTTTCCTTGTTTAAGTATGTATATTTTTAACCTGGTAAATTCCAAGGGGGGGTCCTGACCCCCCAGCCCCCGACCCCCCCTCTAGATCCGCGCATGGTATAATTTTTTTAAAAATAACCTTTATATACATGAGCAATGTGCCCTTCTTTGATTCATGTTTTTTTTATAGCTAGGCACACATGCATATCTGGTATATTTACCGAAAACAAAGAGAGACAACTCAAACTAACATAATTGAAGTGAAAGTATTTAATTAAGTACAGCGTATTAAGAGGTCGAGGTTTTATTCAAAGCATATGAAGCAGAAGAAAATGTCCAAGATTGAAAACACGGGTATACATTTAATTGGAAGAGCTGTAATTATCAAGTCATTATCAGAAGTTATGCGTCTCTAAAAAAACTAAAAAAGAGTAAAAATGTAGGTCTAACTTATAAATTAATTGATAATGTTTGTTTAATTTATATACAAGTTAATTGAGATTTACCTGTATGATCCCAATTGATGATTGGCTTAAAAGTGTTCAAAATACTAACAGTATACTAATTATATAGCCTCCATGTAGTGAGCTTAGTAGCAATAAGCATTACTTTTACACATACCGTGTAAAAATTATACGAGCCGTTTTATAAATTATGTTAAATTTTACGCGTTTAAATTGTACGGATTTATAAACCTAAAAAAAAAATACCCGTCATTCAGTAATATGAAAAAGGCGACATGATTTCAAAGCCAATTTCCACTGTTGGAGTACACGATGTTTTTAACATTCGACATGCCTGCGGCTCTCTGTGACCACGCACGTTAAAAAAATAATGGAGAAACAAAAGAGTGATGGTAAAAATAAAACGTACATATAGTACATTACCTATCTCAAGACTTCCTTCACTAATTATAATTATTTGCCGAAGCCCCATTTCAATTACAATTTTGATAAAATACATTAACACGGAATAGAGAAATAATTTTGCGTGAACAGACCAAAGAAAGTTATCAAAATTCAAAATGATTTTATGCACCAGTGTTAGGAATTGCGATTTAATGTAAGATCGGTGACGTATTCTTATTGATTCGATTAATTAAAAACACAATTTTCTATTAATTGATACATGTAGGTCTTTGTACACAATGGATTTTAAACACGATCACAGACACTTGCTTTGTTTACGACAACAGGTGGCTGGTACACAAGTGACCCCGATCGGAGCGTGGGATTGGCGCGTTTGATTACGCAACTGTTACAAACATCTAGGCTGGCGAACGTGGAGATCAACTAAATGATCGTGAATTATTCGATTAATAAAGCTTAAAATTACTTATAATTATATTTAACGTAGAAAGATAGATTTAATATATTCCGATGAAGACGTGTTCACTATAAAACTAATTAATAATACATAAAAAAGAAAAACTAATTGTTATATAAATAATTTAATAATGAACCGTAAAGCATGTATAAAGACCTTTTAGTAGAAATTTAACATTAAATACCATAGGGTATATTATTGATAGGAAGTTTGTGTAAATTATACACACGAAGAGGTCTGATTTTCTTTCCGATTGAAAAACGCTATCTGTTTACCTGGCCTGCTTTCTACTTCGTGTTACGCAATATCCCCGGTATATTCGAACAAATAAACATTCTCATCAGATCAAAAAGGTGTCAAAGAACAATTTTGTTCGTATAATCCAGATCGAAATATTTACCGTTTTTGAGTTATAAAGCAAAAACTTTCAAGCTCCCTAAATCCTTAATCATAGGGGCCAGCCCCTTTTGAATAGTATTATATGAAAGCCCTTGCAATTATGCACAACTTTTGTTCAACATGTCTTAACAAAATATTTTTAGTTTTCAAGATAAAAAGGAAAATATGTGTAAATTTTCGCTCTTTTAGGCGTTCTATTTTTTGACCCCTATATAGTGCCATTTTGAATACAGAAATCGAAAAACAAAAACCGATGTGCACAACTTCAATCCTTCTGTTATCTAAAACCAGTAAAATTTCTGCTCCAGCTCTAGTGGTCTCTGAGCCTTTGTCTGGAAATGAAAGCCTATAATTTTTCGTTTAAAGGGAAATAACTCAAAACCGGAAGTGAATTTTTGAAATTTTAGACAGCATTCTGAAAGAGTTTATTACCGTCTATAATGTCTGAAAATTTGAGCAAAATCCATTGAGAAATGAGTGAGATATGAGGCCTCAAAGTTGGCGTCTAGGAAGAAAACAAAAAAAAGAATAACTAGAGCAAAGCTCGTTGCAAAGCAACGAGTGGGTCTTCCTTTCTAGCGATAAGCAAAAAATTAAATGTTTCTGTCTAGATTGTCAACAATCTAGTTGACAATCTAGACAGAAACATTTCATCTTTTGCTTATCGCTAGGAAGGAAGACCCACTCGTTGCTTTGCAACGAGCTTTGCTCTAGTCTTATTATTCTAACATTCTCTTTTTCGATTTGTCTCAAAAACCCTTACTTGAATTCTTTAATTTGGTGTGAGCATGAGGTCTAAAGGGTACTCTCTCTAACAGCATTCTTGAAATCGTATCGACAACAGTTTAACTTCCAATATTATGACTTTTGATATCGGATATATCATGTTTGTTGCAATTATGTTTGTGAAACGTGTCATACTACAGAAACATAAGTGTTTTGCTACATTACCATCTTAAAAATGGCTTTAAAATCATTTAATATACAGTATAACTAGGTAAATAAAATAAACAAATTATATGATAATTCAAAAAATCCAAATGTATTTAGTGACATATTTACAATAATGATGAACAATCTTCATTAGTTGCAATCAGTAAGTAGAACAATACTTTTATAATAAACGCACAGAAATGTGTTGTGTATGTTTCTAATTTGAAGCTTTCCACTAGCAACTGGTGGTACCTCAATAGGAGTGTAAAATTCTCTGAAAGGTATATTGTGAACATATTACATATGGCTGTGTATTCTTTTTTAGCGGCTTTGGCGGAATGCAGCAATCACTAAATCAAGTACAAAGCTAAAAGTCTTGTACATAAACATAAATAAGAATATCTACGCTAACTTATTCAAAAGTCAGTTTCCACCAAATATTGTACAAGCTAAATATAATACATTTACAGCATTAAAGAAACAAATCTCTTTGAAGGTATTGCCCTGCATAAGAACAATTTGAATCCCCTACACTAAGGATGCTCTGTGCCAAGTTTCACTTTGGTTCTGGAAAATGATATTGTGAAATTTTAGACAATGATGATAATGGATAAAATTATGGTTTTAAAAAATTTACTGGTTCCTTTAGCTCAGATGGGCTAATAAGTATGCAACAGGCACAGTTTTGGAGTTGACATTGAAATGCGACTGGACATCTCTTCAATCTTGTTTTAGAAAACTACATGTACATGCCCTATGTACTGAATTCCTTGGAATCATACACATGTTTATGCCTTTAATTAGTTGTATGTGCCAAAATAACAATTTTTTTTTACATTATACTGTAAAAATTACACATACATGTATTACAAGATCTTATATTCCTGCTGAAGACAGAGGATCTTTCTTAATCATTAGAATAAGTAAGTCTTAACTTTGAAAGGGAAGACCTTAATAAAGAGGTCAACATGCTACACAAACAAAATATTATTATATTTAAAAATAACATTTATTCCAATGTAATTACTGGTACATGTATTTCTGTTACAAAAACTATTTCACTTGAAAAACTGAGAGCAATTGATATGTTCATATTTGTGGATTTATGTTGTCAAATCAAAATTTAAAAATGATACACAGTGTGTTTAAAAATTGTCTTCACAAACCAAAACTAATGACTTATTTTCACTATGCTGTTTATTCCATGTCACATCCAAACAGATGATCTTCTGGCAAATTATGGTCATGCTTGGTATCAAAATTCAGTATTCAGATGAGTCACACCTATCCAAAAGAAATTGAAATTTTTTAATTTATAATTCTTTTACTAATAAAAAGTGCAATTCATGAGATTATAAATTAGATTATCAAATTGAGAGATAAGATATTGTCACATTTTCTGTGTGTAATTTGTAAATTTTAATGTACTCTTTCATCAATTAAAAGAAGTTTACACCAATTAAGGCAGTCATTTATGCTATCCCCTAATAAGACAACATACCAGTGCAAAGTAATCATGCACTTGTGGGTTTAGGATAATGTGCTAGAGTATTTATGACAACATACTAGCACGAGGTGACAATGTGCTAGCATGTACGTCAGTGATAATATGCCAGCACACTTAATCCAACATGCAGTAAAGCTAACACTCAACCGATTGTTTAGAGTTGTGTTTGCATGATATTTTGTTTTGTGTAAACACAGCAGCGTGTTGTTTAAAGCTGCATTGGAGTGGCAGTCTGTTGAAATTAACATGCTAACACACTGCAACTTCACATCATTGGAACACCATAATTTTAAAACTCGCAAACCAATATCTTATGATTACTAACTAGGTAATTGCAACTGTAAATGCTGATTTCATGGTGACAATTATACCGGTAATTCACTGTATATCTGAGAACTGATCAATTATAATAAGGCGTGTCCAGATAGGGCCACTTGCTAAAGCTCAATAGCACTTTCATAAAAGCGTGCCATCTTACCGACACAAAAGACGCCATTAAGCTATCACACAGCTCGCCATCACAACACTGAAAAACACTTTCGCACTAACACAAGTTCGCACCACACGCTGTCACACTAACACACAACACACTGTCACGCTAATACAATTTCACACAACAAAATATCAGGCTAACACGAGTTCACACAACACACTATCATGCCAACACAAATTCACAAACACCCTGTCTCGCTAACACAAGTTCACACAACACGCTGTCACGCTAACACAAGTTTTACACAACACGCAGTCTCGCTAATATGAGTTCATACAACACACTGTCTAGCTAACACAAGTACACGCAACACACTGTCACGCTTAGATGAATTCACACAACACACTGTCACGCTAACATGAGTTTACACAACACGCAGTCTCACTAACACAAGTTTACACAATACACTGTCACGCTAACACGAGTTTACACAATACACTGTCACGCTAAACAAAGTCACAAAACAGGCTGTCTCACTATTCACTAACACAAGTTCACACCAAATGCTGTTGCGATAACACACTGTCATCCTAATACCATTTCACACAACACACTGTCATTCTAATACCATTTCACACAACACACTGTCAGGCTAACACGAGTTCACACAACACACTGTCACGCTAACACGAATTCACAAAACAGGCTGTCTCACTATTCACTAACACAAGTTCGCACCAGAGGCTGTTGCCATAACACACTGTCATCCTAATACCATTTCACACAACACACTGTCATCCTAATACCATTTCACACAACACACTGTCATCCTAATACCATTTCACACAACACACTGTCACGCTAACACAAATTCAAAAAACATGCAATATCGCTAACACGAGTTCACATAACACGCAGTCTGGCTAACACGAGTTCACACAATATGCAATCTCACTAACATGAGTTCAAAAAACACACTATCTCTCTAACACCAGTTCACACGACAAATTTTCAGGATAACAAGTTCACACAACACACTGTCACGCTAACACGAATTCACACAACATGCTGTCTCGTTAAAAAGAGTTCACACAACACGCTGTCTCGCTAACATGAGTTTACACAACACGCAGTCTCGCTAACACGAATTTACACAACAGGCAGTCTCACTAACACGAGTTTACACAACACGAAGTTTCGCTAATACGAGTTAAATCAACACTCTGTCTAGCTTACACAAGTTTACACAACACACTGTCACACTTACACTTTACACACGATTTCACACAACACGCTGTCCCGCTAACACGAGTTTACGCAACACATCGTCAAGCTAACAAGAATTCACACAACCCACTGTCAGGCTAACACACTTAAGTTCACAAAACACACTGCCTTGCTAACACAAATTCATACAACACACTGTCTCGCTAACACAAGTTCACACAACACACTCACATTGCTGAGTTTAAAGTAAAGGTCTACCCTAATTTGAAGAGGTTTAACACTAACATATCTCTATATTAGTAAAGAGCTTTTAAGACAAAAAAATTTAAGACAAAAACATTTATGCAGTAATGTTCCTTAACATGCATATGGCATATAAAATGAATGAGACCTTAAAAACCTCACAGTACATGTTTACTTAGCTAAGTAAAGGTCTAAATTGATGCTATTCAACATATTCAACATCTCTAAGTATGTGAATGAGTGAAATTCTCAAATAAATATTATAAATCAAAGTATCAATAAGAAGCTGAACCTTACGTCGCAGGTTCCAATCCCATTGCTAAATGCTTTAGACAGGTTACTCCTGTGAGACTGCATAAACCAAGATTCTGTGTCACGGTAGGTGTTAGCACAAAATGGATCTCATACTTCTTAAAGGCAATAAGTGCTGAGTACAAGTCTATATTTGCAGCTAATACCATCCCAAGTGGTGGCACCATGAAATGACTGAAAAATGTATGATTAAGGCGAATAAACAAACATTAAACCATTACAGCAGTCTTATCAAACAAAAAAGCAAACTTTCTATTATTACAATTTTTTGAAACAAATTTCTTTTGCAATTTAACTGAGCAATATTTGTCCTTTTTTGTCAGTAAAGTATGATATTAAATAATTAAGACTTTTTGAGAACATCTATTTATAGCGAGTCCAGACAGCAGCACAAATCCCTGCCCATAATGCGAGCTCTTATGATAAGACCTTGGCAAAAGAAGATTGTGACTTGCACATTGCTCCACACAATTTTTCCGCAGTATACTTTGGACCCATAGTGCTTAGCTTCTTTAACATGTTTAAGCTACATTCAAAATTCATTTCTATTTAATTTGAATTAGCTATCCTTACTCACGTTCACATGGAGCTAATGGGAAGTAATTTAACGAGCAGTGAATTCATTCGAATTAAACATTTGAATAAACTCTCAGTGTGAACACTGAGCATGGATGCACCAAATGTCAAATGCGGCTTGACAAGCACAATCTAAATTAAAACTAAATAAGTATCTGCCCTCACCCTTATAGTCACACTGTCAATATATAATTAGTTGAATATATTCTGTAACATTAAGTGCAGTTTGAATTATAGAGTATGATCACTATGATAGATAGTAGGACTGTTGAAATTACATCCTCAAATTTAAAAAAAAATAAAATATAAAGCTGTGGGGATTTACAAGGTAAACAGAGAGCGTCTGAACTGTAAAACAGAAAATATATCGGTGTGTCTGTGTATTTCTAATAACATCAATGTTAGATAGAATGTTCTATCGTTAAATTGATATTGTCCTACGGACCCGGTTTAACGATAGAATTCGTTCCATGTATTCGTAATGTAGCAGAAAGAAACACGGGCGATAACTCGCATAGTGCATTTACTAGGAACAATCTAGAGAGTTCCGAATGTAAACATGGAGGTAATTTGAATCGAGAGAAAAACGTTGAGAAAATGAATTGGATTTTCGTATTTATATGGATTATTTTTTGGGGATAAAAGGCATAAGCAATCTCAAAAAGGTTTGTTATGATTAATTTGCAACTTATTTTCAGTGCAAATCCGTTTGTATCCTTCAAAATCGTTTCGGTGCGATTCTGCAATTTTTTGCTACATTACGAGTATACCCTTAGCAAAAACAAATTGATTGAATTTTGATTTATTTTGTAGTTGTTTTCTGAGCATTGGATTTCCATTGTTTTTTGATTTGCAAAGAAATCAACTGTGCCTCCTTGCTAAATTGTATGGAAGAAAAAGCATTGAAATAGCATTGAACATTGGATTTTGATTTTTTTTGCATTGACTTTTGATTGAAAATTGCTGGATTTTCGCGAAATATGTAAATGAGATGAAGGATTACTTTGACATCACAGAAAAATGCAAAATCAATACAAAACAAATGAAATACTATAAAGCATTTATTTGATGTCATTTAACATTATTGTGACATCACAGAAAAATGGTAAAGTAATACATCGAACACATTTATGTGATGTCATAAAACTCAAGAAGAAATAGAAAATTAATACATGAAAAAAAACAATAACAAGCATTAAATATTGAGTTCTTAACATATTGCAAACATTACTAATAATCTAATTCTATTACATGTATCTTCACCAAAAATCAGAATTTCCAATACTTATCTATTCTCAAAGATATAATTCCAAGTAAATGTAACTAAAGACATAAATCCAAGTGAATGTAACTAACATCCTCTGAACACTTGAATACATATGTGTGAGGCATGATTTGAACCGAAAGAAACACTGACGTTCACAAATCACAATAATGATATTTTTATACATTAATCACATATCACAATTTCAAGTACACTTCCTTGAATTCCATTCACTTTCGGGATTCTAACTGGATTTAGTCGCATCTTTCTTCCCAACGAGTCTGGTTTTTCCTTTACTCTCATGTCTTATGTTCCCAATTTTGTTCTGGATCGTTTTATTGAAAAGTTTTGGTGGCACGGGCTCTAACTGCAAAGTTCTGCACTTAGTGTGCATGTACTCTGTAAGAAAAAAATAAATATAAGATATTTATCATTTGATATATAAATGAATCTTTTAAATAAAAAAGAAATGAGAGTCAAGACTCCTTAAAATTAATTTTAATAAATGTTTCCATTAGTACCTTGGATTGCTTCCAATTTGTGTTGGTCCAGACCTTTTACACCTTTACTTGTCCTCAACTCCTCCTTCTTGAAAACAATCTCTACAACTTTATTAAGAAGGTAAATTCCACCATTTTTGCTAGTGGAAGTTGTTAAAGCCTTCATTTCGGCTGTCCTCAGTTGTGACGGGTTTACCAGAACATCTCCAAATGTGTTGTTTTCGTCATGAATAAGTGGCAACAAACGCTACAAAACAAAACAAATTGTATATATTCAGGTGTTTACAATTGTCCTGATTAAAAGAAAATAATCTAACTTAATCTACTCAAAATCTTTTAAGAAAACTATGTGTCAAAAGAGATTCCATTTTTTTTCTTCAAATTTCACAGGTTTTTTTTATTTTGCATATTATTTTTTTATTCCAAACTGTGACAAATTGAAAAAAAAACTAGTCATGTTTACTATTATCAAGATAATAACAGAAAAAGAAAGACAACTTCTAAGTACATCCTACTTACAGGTTCTTTAATAGTTGGAGTTTCCACTGAGGGGGTAGCATCCTGTGAACTTGATGGATCTGATGATGGACCTGGTGTTTCAAGGACTGGTGCATAGTTAGTTCCATAGGTGTAATTCTGTAGTGTATTTGTCAACACGTTGAGGAATGAGAGGATCTGGCATTGCTGGTCATAATTCAAACCTCTGTAGTACCCTTTTAGAAATATATAGATACATACATTAAACATGGATATACAACATGAAGCATCTCATTTAATCAATTTAATTTACTTTTAATAATTAATGCAAATACCTGTGAGATTGTCCATTGGAGATGGGTCAGAGGGAATGCTAAAATTTGAACTTCCTTGAGTTGTACTGGTTTGAAAACAAGGTGTTGAATTAGAAGCATTGTACCCATACTCGGGGAAGGATGGGTCAAGCATCTGAAATACAGATCAATTAAGGAAATAAGAGGCTAACCAATATCAAGTCTGTGAGAATACACTTTATATTTTTAAGATTTAACTTTCTGCAAAAACCAAAAATTAAACATTTTTACAATTTTCACATATAACATAAAGCAAAATTCATAGATACTAGTAGGTCAAAGAAATTGACTTTGATTTGATTATTTGATGTTATCAATAAAATAAAAAATTTTACTCACATTTCCAGTCTCCATGCCATTGTCCACATCGAAATTTATACTTGTATCTTCATTGAGGATTCCCAATCCCTGCCCTATTATGAAAGATGTTTCCACTGCAGGGGGCATATCTAAATTTTTGGATGGTGATTTGAACTGAGTTTTCTTTTGTGACTTGACAGGAGTTCTTCTTGGTGCTTTGACAGGAGTTTTGTTGACGGGTTTCCTTTGCGGGGACTTGACAGGAGTTTTGTTGAAGGGTTTCCTTTGCGGGGACTTTACAGGAGTTTTGTTGACCGGTTTCCTTTGAGGGGATTTGACAGGAGTTTTGTTGACGGGTTTCCTTTGCGGGGACTTGACAGGAGTTTTGTTGACCTGTTCCCTTTGCGGGGACTTGACAGGAGTTTTGTTGACCGGTTTCCTTTGCAGGGACTTGACAGGAGTTTTGTTGACCTGTTCCCTTTGCGGGGACTTGACAGGAGTTTTGTTGACCTGTTCCCTTTGCGGGGACTTGACAGGAGTTTTGTTGACCGGTTTCCTTTGCGGGGACTTGACAGGACTTTTGTTGACCGGTTTCCTTTGCGGGGACTTGACAGGAGTTTTGTTGACCGGTTTCCTTTGCAGGGACTTGACAGGAGTTCTTCTTGGTGCTTTGACAGGAGTTTTGTTGACCGGTTTCCTTTGAGGGGACTTGGCAGGAGTTTCGCTTACAGGGCTCTTTTGGGGGGAATTGACAGGAGTTTTGTTGACTGCTATTCCAGCAAAAGCCTCCAATTCTTTCAGTTTTAAATCATTCAATTTTGTTGCTCTGCTGGGACCTGTTTTTGCTGTAGAGCCTGTAGAGGTGGTTTCAGGTTTACTTCTTTGTGATTTTTTTGTCTTCTTTCTGCTCCCATCATCATTTTCTTCCTCAAGCACTCTTTTTAGCTTGAGACTTGATCCTCTCTTCCCACTTTTTCTCATTTCTTCCGATAATTTTCGCATACTTTCGACTAAAGTTGAGGTTTCTTTTTCCTGACATTCTGGCAATACTTCCTCTTTAATTTGTTTAATGAATCCACGGCACTTTTGCAGACCTAAAATTAAAGATAATATTAAGAAATAATTCAAGATTTATAATTTGTAGAAGTACAATATTGATTCTTACCAATACACCCCCCCCCTAACAAATTCATTAAACTTATTTTAGTGATATTTATTCAACAGTTTTAGGACCTATACTTTTGTTACTAAACATGCTAAAACACCTTTTTGTGAGAACCGAAATGTTTTCATTTTTAAATACTTCAATCAATAATAATTACCGGTAAACCAATATCACATATGTATTTTCAAATGAAAAAAAAAATTGCACATTTACATACAGCAGCATAAATCTGAGATAATTTAAACAATAACCACAGGGAGTGTGACAGGACTACACAAACTTTCTTGGATCCGCCTAACAGATACTCAGATATGCCATTCGGTTCTAATTTCAGCTTTAAGATAATTTATTCACATTAACATCTGTGTCTGTCTGACTAATTAGTTTATAGTACCCTCTGCCATGTCTGCCAAGCAGCTAGTGGACACCAGCAGTGTTGAGTACACAAGGAGCATAGATTAACTTAATCTGATCAGATAGCATGTGGTGGTAAAAGGTTTCCAACTCTTTGTATACATTAACACTAGGTTGCAGAGTGAAATTTAATACTTAACTTGGCATATTCCCCCTCAGAAATTCCACAGAATGCACAATGGTGCATGGTAAAATAATGCGTTAAACACAACATTGGTCAATCTCAGTGTTGCATTCGAGTTATCCTTGTTTACTAATATAAGCTTGCAGGTGTCCCAATTTGTATTATATAACGTTATATCTTTAATGGGTTTTTGCACTTTCATCTATATGATACATCTTTTTTCTTTAATAATACATGTAATAAGATTATGTAAATAAACATGCTAATACCCTTGAATATATTTATGTCATTTTAATTTCGGCCGCTTATTGTGTTTATGCCCGCCATTTTCAAATTTCTGTTAGGCCTAGGCCTATAGTATATGATCTGCCGCTGTACCTTGCACATTTTAATCTTAAAACAGTTATTTTATCTCAATAAAATATATATTGATGTAAAACCCTTTGTGTAAAATCATTACGCAGTGATTTAGAATAAATTCTGAGGAAAAAAAAGAAATAACACGAAACTTACTTCCTGAGAAAACAATGTATCCATTGTATGGCATTTCCTTGAGCACCATCTTTCCATCGTCTTCAATGTCGCTTGTCTGCCACAGAACAACAACACTGCCTTCTTCGTCATTTTTAAAATCTACACGATTTTTCGCCATAACATGAACAGTTTTGTCCACAGGAAAGAACACAACTAATTGTAGATCATTTCTATCAAAGTACGCCATGTCTGGATGCAGCGCCAACCGAATTTGAAATGGTTGGATAAGTGACGTAAAGTAATCACGTGATTTTTATCAGCCTCCCGCTGCACATGTTTACAAACGGGCAGCACTAATAACCAGCAATATAGATAGCTGATAAAGCTGCCATTAAAAATATATGCGTATAGGGTTTTTTTTTTAGTTAGTGTCAGCTTTTTGATTTTTTTTTGCAGTGAAAACTGCTTACTTTTTAATTATGAAGACATTACAACCCTTAGAAAACATCGTAAAAAAATGGACACTATAGCTATAAAACCATTTTAACGGACATTAGTTTACACAGCATCTGGGATGAATTATCCTAAAAGCACATGCGGTAAAAATGGAAGAATCACACAAGAAGAAAAGAGGCCCATATCATAAAAGAAAGGTATTAATTTTGTTTACTTATTTCCTTCACATGTAGAAATTATATAATTGCTCATTTCAATGGCGTATTCACATTTATCTGTTTACCTGAAGGAAGGGGGGGGGGGTCTGGTTATACACTCCAAGTGAATATATTTATTTATAAAAGTACGCATTGCACGTGGAGCTGAAAAGTAAAGGGGGAAATATAGAAGACTTTTAGAGCTCAACCAATATTTGATTTCCACTCAGCTGGGCATCAAAACTAAAATTTTAAAGAAATATAATGATAACTAAATTAATTGAATGAAAGGGGGGATGAATACATTAAAGTAAGAACTTAAAGCATTATCTTTTAATTGCTCTCTCTCAAATATATCTATATGTAAAAAAAAAATAATGTCTAAATGTGTGGTTTGTCTATATATTATGCAAGGTGTATATTTTTTCAAATGACTGTTATTATTATCCATATAGATTCATGACAATGAAGACCCAAGTACCAGTGCATTCAGTAAGACCTACGTTGAGAAAACTGAAAATGTTTTATGTGATCAAGATGTTCCAAAGGCTATCAAAAAAGAGAGACTTGAAAGTGTAGATTCTAATGTGGGTTATAATTTAGATGAACTTCGCTGGAATGCTAGTAGTCATGAACTTACTACAGCAGTGGATGATTTTGTGGAAAATGTTAACAATGATGAAATAAAACATACTGCAGCAGAATTAGATGAATCTGAAGAGAATGCTGAATTTTTGCATCAAAATGAACCATATGGAGAGGAAACAGAAGAAGAAACGGACACTGTGGTTTCCAAGAATGTTCCTGATCTACCTAATGAAGTGTTTGACCCTAAAAGTGACAAAGTACTTGATGAACTTCTTGAGGAGGCAAAGTTAAGGGACAGTGACTTATTGTCTGATGAAAATGAGATTAATATTGAAGATGATGTAGGATTTGTCGATGAATTTACCAATTTTGTATTCAATGATGTAGAAAATACTGTACCCAAACCTGATGATCCCAAGTCCAAGGAAAACCGCTTTACCGATCCCTTGTTTGAAGGATCACCATATACTCTTGGTGTTGTAATTTTGCTGATATGCTGCTTTGTGATTAGATTTCGATTGCCTGATGAAGCAATATCGTATTTACTTCGATTTTTGGCGTGTATTTTACCCTTAGGACACACGTTATCTGGGAGTCTATACCATTTCAGGAAGACAATCAGATTGTTCACAGATTGTTTGATACCAACATTGACATATCACTGCAATTCGTGTTATGAAATAGTTAGCAAGAATGAGAAAAACTGTCCATCTTGTAATAAATCATTGACAGACTCTGGGGGTAGGGCATACTTTATGCAACTCAAACTTGTATCCCAATTGCAAGCATTATGGAAGAATAAGGAATTTTGTGACATGGTGCGGAAACATAGATTTGAGCATTTTGAAAGCAATAAATCAGATAAACTTTCTGATATTTACGATGGGTTACTGTACAAACACTTGTTTCAAAATGATGGTGTTTTATCGTCTCCAAACAATTTATCATTTTCACTGAATACGGATGGTGCTCCTTTGTTCAAATCATCCAACATTAGCATCTGGCCAGTGTATATGCTTATTAATGAGCTTCCCATTGCCCAGAGAAAGAAAAGAAATTATGCTCTGTTTTATGGTGTTTGGATCTCCTGTCGAAAGCCACAGATGTGGTCTTTTCTTAAACCATTATATGAGGAACTGAATGACCTTGGAAGTAAAGGTCAAACATTTTGTGATTATTATGAAAACACATTTGACTGTAAATGTTTCTTGTTAACATGCACATGTGATCTTCCAGCACGAGCAATAGTTTACAACTGTAACCAGTTTAATGGAGATTATAGCTGCTGGTTTTGCCTACAGAAAGGTGAAACTTTTAAACATGAATCAGGAGGTATTTCACATGTGTACCCATTTAAGGAACCACCCAAAGATCCTCCACGTACACCAGAAACTGTGAATCGAGATGTTCAGTTGGCATCAATAAAAATTAGAAACCGTGAATCTAAAACTACAGTTAATGGCCACAAAGGAAAATTTTGGTTTATGTATTTGACTTATTTTTATCCTATTTACAGTTGTGTTATAGACTATATGCATGGCATTTGTTTAGGGGTTTGTAAACAATTATTAACATTATGGTTTGATAAGAAAAACAAAACTGAAAGTTTTTCTTTCTTTTTGAAATGCAGTGATGTTAATTCTTTCTTGAACAAAATAAAACCAACACTGTATGTAACAAGAATTCCAAAGACATTGGATGAACTCACTCACTGGAAGTCATCAGAATTCAGAAATTTTATATTATACTGGGGAATACCAATTTTGAGAAATGTTTTAACACAAGAATATTTTGTGCATTTTTGCTTATTAGCTAGGTCTTTTTTTATTTTGTCAAAAGAAGGAATAAGCAAAGAAGAATTGCTAGTAGTTGAATCTGCTCTCTTATTATTTGTGGAGAACTATCAAGTTCTCTATGGTGAAAGGTTTATGACCTTGAATATTCATCAATTAGTACATTTAACAGACTGTGTAAGACACACCGGACCATTATATGTAAATAATTGTTTTATTTTTGAAGATTTGAATGGTTTTATTGTGAAACACATACATGGAACACAAGGGGTTGACACTCAAATTACAAATATTGTTTGTATGTTAAAGGTACCACCTGTCCTTTGTGATCTGTTCCTGAAAAAGTATGATGATGAAGAGGAAATTGTTTCATTGTATAATGAACTGACTGACTCTGTAACAGGGCGCTATAAATATTTTACAGAAATTGAAAGTGGCATTAGACCTATTGGAAATGCATGTAATAAACAGTTAACAAATTCTGAGAGACAATGTGCTCTTAAATTTGGAGTGCATAATGAGTTAGTGAAATGTTTTTTTAGAATAAATATGTTTAAGAAGGGATTTTATGTTTATGGACAGGCATATGACCGCTTAAAGAAGCGTCAACAAAATGTCATTACATACATTACTGGAGATAGTATAAAATTTGGAAGTGTATTGTTTTTCATTCAGTCTGAGGAACAGAATAGAGTTGTAAACTTAGCAAAAGTAAGACTACTCCCCAAAATACAATCCATTGGATGTGTCTGGCAAGTTGATACAAGTGATGATGTAGATTTTATACCTATTCAGTCTATATTAAATGTTAACAATTTTGTAGTTATTGATGACAAAAAGTATGTATGTCCATCACCAAATCGCTATGATCGTGATTAAATGTCCTTTACCTTTAGATATAGTGTGTGCTGTATAGTTTGCAATTTTGAAGTAAATTCTGTTAACCTTCACCATTTATTTCTAAATCAATGCTTCAGAAAATAAATACAAATTCAATCATGGATTTACCTAAGAGAACAGTTGATGTGTAGAGTATTATTGGTATGACATCATTTAAATTCAAAATAAATGCACAATAAATGCATTGAAACAACATTTACTGTATAAATCAAATTTCAATCATTCCAAACTCAATGGTTTGAAGATTGTTGAAATGAATTCAATCAAAAATAAATGCATATTCAATGTTCAATGTATTTTCAAGACAAATAAAATCAAAAATCAATGCAAATTTAGCATTTGTTTTTGCTAAGGGTATGGGTGGTATTCTAACTGTGGTGAGGGCTTGTCCCGAGACACAGTTAGATTATTCTAACTACATCAATGTATGACACTGTCATGTAATCAGTAGTGTAAATTTTAAGTAATAAAAATATTCTAACCTTCATTCCAATGGTCCAAGCCAATCATACATTAAAATGTCGCCGTCAGCTCTTTCATCACTCGATACAATTATCACTGGGGAATGATATGATGATCCGAATCCGAAGCACAGTCAAGAGTACGTGTTCATCCTTGTTAATGTGACAGTCAGAATTTCCTCGTAAACAATTCACACAAGATTCTTAGAATATATGAATCGGGATAATTCTGCTTAGAATAATGTTCCAGAGAAGTGAAAAAGTACTTCGTAGCTGCAGATTAAATGAGTGTACATGTCTACAAACGGATTCTTTGTGAGAAAATGTTCAACTTCACAAATCATTCTATTTTCAGTTTGTAAACCATGGCAAACATGTGTCCGACGTCGACTCGAAGGGGCACACTAAAAACGGGATATACTAGAGACCTGATATTTACCTGACGTTTTAATTTTTAATTAAATGGTAATATTGAGTATTTTAAATTACTTATGTACAGACTTTATGACTTTGAGGCATATGCTATACAAAAATTCAATTGTTTGGAACAGTTACAGACAAATTTGAATCAGGTCAAATCAGTGTTTAGTACATCGCGTCTTTAGTACCTTCCTATTTCCCACAATGCCGCGCGTTGTTTACAAACAAGAGCGAAAAAATCCTCTAAACTAGGTACTAATTATTGTTGTGTACATCATCACATTTTAAAATTATTTGAATAAAAAGAAAACAAAGAAACACCGAATCAAAACTATATCTTTTAGATGCATCAACTAAAAATGTGCACATGTATGCAGTAAAGGCTTGGCTGGCTATAGTAGACAACTTGTTCCTGAAAGGTTTCTCACATACATGTACTTGTTTTATAAAAAAAACAATTAAATATAGCTGGAAGTTTATTTCTTTTTATATCAAATGACAAGATTTTATAAGTTCGAAATTATTTCAGTCAAACTTTTTCATAATATACCAATATTTTTAGCTATCAGAAAAAAAACGTGTATGAGCCATTAGCCCCTAATTATAGGGGCCAGCCCCTTTTCCATAATCAAATATGAAAGCTCTCGTAATTACCCACAACTTTTGTATTATATGTCTTACCAAATTATTCTCGGTTTAAAAGTTATTACACAAAAAGTAGCAAAAATTCAAAGAAAAAAAATTACTAAAATTTGCCGTTTTATAGCTTCCAAACTTTAAGAAATCAGCTATATAATTTTATCGTTGTGCACATCTACAATGTATTGGCTACAAGTTCTCCAACTTTCGTGTAAATATCTTATGTCATTTTTGAGATTTTCAGTGGAAACGAGACATCAAAAATTTTCAATTAAAGGGCAATAACTCACAAATAAAGGCATGCATAAAAAAACTGAAAACAGGTTTAAATAGGTTTAACTACAAACTATCTATCCTGAAAGTTTCATAACGATCAGTCCAAAGGTCTTTGAGAAATCGCCTGTCAAAAGTCGAGCGGGAAAAAAAAAAGAATAATAAGAAACAATAGAATAACAGTAGGGTCTTCCGAAGGAAGCGGAAGACCCTAATAAGAATAATCTTAATCTTCAGAATCAGTAGAAGGTCTTCCGTTGGAAACGGAAGACCTTAAATACACAACAAACTGTCGATTCATTTTTATCAAATATCTAAAACTTTTGACGCAATTTTAATATATTTCTTACGTGCATGTAAATGTGTCCAACGCTTTCGACAGTTTTCGTCTTATATATCAGCAATCCTTCAATTCATTAAAATTTTAAATATACATGTTAGTTTCAAAATGTATGTAACGTTCCGTAAGGGTGAAATACCAAGCGGCTAAACTTTAATAATTGAATTATTGACCATTTTGTTGAGCCAGAGAAGAAAAATACTTACAGTTTCGTCCATATTTTCCACTAGCAACCGCTCAATTTTCAGATAGCAGTAACGAACGCGCAATTTTTTCTGATAGCAACCGTTTTGGTACTACACCGTGCCTTCCCCCTTCCACACACAGCGAGCAGTAACAATGTTTTTCATAATGGTTGATGGGTGGAGACATGGTACATGAATTTATCTGGAAATAGTTAAAACAAACTCGACTTAAGCGTTTCCAAATTTTTACCTCGTATTTGACCGTGTTCCAAAGCCTTTGAGCCCCCGTTCACCTAAAATAAATCCTGAATCGCTGTTATTATCAACTCACACTTCCACTTCAACATCCCTTAGCACACCATCAAATATAACTGAAGAAATCCTTTTCCGATTTCATTGAACCCTTTGTACTAGCTTTTGAAATTAGTACTTTTAAGAACTTTTTATTATTCCCTAACATCTTCTATTTCAGCTTTATTTGCTATATGTTTCAGTCTGTCTTCGGAATTTTGGTTTTTGCAACACTCAAGGAACATTACATTTATGTTCAAATGTTAAAAGTATATTTTGTTTTCCAAAGCCTTATCCAAATTGAAAAAAAAAAACCTCCAATATTAAAGACATGTTGCCTTCTATTTTGTGACTAGATAGATATGTTGTCTTTTTAGGTAGAAAGGTCATTCTATTAGCAAGAAAATTCTTAAACTTTATCATCTGGAATTGCATTGTGTCCATGTTTTGATGAGAAAAGTTGTATAATTGTGCAATTTAAGAGCACCTGCAGATTCGAATTCCTCGTGATTTCTATCACGTACAAGCTTTCGTACCAATAGGCCTAAGCCATTCTTGATCTAGTCAAAACTTTTCTTGATAACAAAATTTTCTTGAACACTCCAAGAACTTTATTTTACAAGGCAACTTGATCAACACTTCTTCATGTTCTTTGTTAGGATAGTGCAAGGTTGTATCAAGAATCGAGTGGGAACTGAACAAGAATATTTTCCTCTTTCATATTTTGTAAATTTCTTTATATCGTATAAAATGGGTTGCCTACGTCACAATGACTTTCGTCAAAAACGTTTCAATCCGCCTGACGTTACATTCAAATTTTGTAAGTAATATTAGAGCATGTTGGATATATTTCTCTAAACCAACCAAAGTAGATATGCGGTTTGTGCCTCATAATTGGATTAATTTAAACGAACTTGGCGATTTATAATAATATTCATTTATATATTTCTTTCTTAGATTTAAATATCTAGGGCATTGGAGAATGAAATAAAATTAATCTTCTATTTGTTGACTATCACAAACATCGCATAGTCTATTATTTCTGCTCTTGTCTTGGTACCTTCTGCATTCTATGTTTAGATAGTGCGACGAAAGTCTGATGCGGGAAATATGCTTTTTTAAATTACCTTGTAAAGGTTTTGTTAAATAAGGTTGCATTTTACAGAAATCAGATTGGACAATGTGCTTATATAAAAACCATTTTGACGAATTATCCATTAATGCATTGCACTCTAGGAGGTGTATATCTAGTAATTTGTTTTTATATACGAGGGTTGTCCCAAAATTCCGTAGACAAGCGTTGTATTGTAGGAACCATACGTCATACATGAATGAAACTTCGTATATAAGTTAAACGAAAACTATCTAATAAATTTATGGACAAATATGGAGTAACTACACAAATTATTCCAATTTAAAAGACACATTTCATTGTCTGGTTTAGGAAGGCGGCGCAAACCCAAAAGTTGCAATTAAAATTTGGTATATTATATTTAAAATCCTACGGAAAAGTAATTACTACCCCATATTTTATATAATGGAAAAGAAAATTCTTAATATTGTTTCATAAACTATATTTCCTCACATTTTGGTGTGTATGCTTTGATAAATATGAATTTTATAACGTTTTATATACATGTGGTTAAAATCCGAATTTTTTAAAAATGGCGGCTGCTTTGGCCCAGGCGGCGCACTGGACTATGATCAAGTGTTTTGATCCTGAATTCACTCTTACAGAAATGTACCAGTCATAAATGTTTGGTAGACTAAGAAACTTTTTCTCCTCCTTAGTATTTAAAATGATTAAAACGGTTTCTCTATGTATATGTCAATAACAGTAATTAAAATAAAAGACAAGGCTAAGAAATGGGCAAGAGTTCCATTGCGCAAATCCATTAGAGAAAATAGACAAAAAACTCGTAGAAATATAGCGTTTTCAAATTATTATTATTTCATACCTGTACATGCATATACTTTGTTTAAATATTTCAATGTTCGATCATATCATAGTAATTAAGATATTTTACATTTATAACTATAACCGTTTCGTTTAATTTAAGAATTTGATTCTGGTACTTGAACTATTTTCTCCAAAAAGTTGAACCGTTGACATATGTATTTTTTGACGTTGCAGATTGCTCCGGGTGTTAGAGAACTATATCACTTTAAATGTTATTACTTGAAAAGTTTTCAAGTAAACATGATAAAACTTCGTAATTTATCTGCGAAGAACATGCTTTATCCACCCTGTAAATTTTATAAAGATACATTAATATCTTTAAAAGATATGAGCTTAGTCTACGAAATTTTGGGACAACCCTCGTATATGCATGAAATTAGCAAAGTTTATTACTTGATGATGTTGTAAAAATGAATTTCCACCATTTTGAATCGCCATTCTTACTTTTAACTTACAGCTGCTCAATTATTAATGTGTAGATTAGTGAGATGCAGAGAAAACAACTAAATATGCAATGAATTGATATTTGCAAATACATAATCTTAAACAAAGCAGAATATAAACAATAGACAAATAAATCAGAGAAAATTCGAATAAAGTGTAGAAAAGACTAAATTGTCAGAGTTTAATTAATAAAGTAAGCATTCTATTATTATTTTGAAAGTTGTATTACATTCAGTGAGATTTTCACACATTACTTCTCCATTTTAACAGACATTAAGAGAAAATTAGAAAAATTGGATGTCCGCCAATTTGAATGCTTTTTTGAGCTCTTTATCGCCATTTTCATGAAGGCCAGCATATTTTTAAGGTAAGGAGATTCAAAATTAAATATTTTCTGGTGAAAAAAGTACGATCTAGAATTTCAGTATTTTCCTTTTACCAATTTTGCTAAACTTTGAAAAGTAAAATTTTGTCAATTCAAATATGTGCTTCAGAATAGGTTTTTGTAAGGTGATGCATGTACCATTTATAAATAAAAAGGTAATATTTGCATTAAAAAAAGAGTTGAGACAAATTAAAATTTAGTTGAGACCCTATTAAATGCAGTATTGGATTAAATTAAACATTTTGTCATTGTCTGTATTATTCAATAAGAAAAACAAATTAAGCAATTTGATTTTTAAAAAAATCATTTGTAACGAAATTTAAGGAAAGTAGTTTCTCCCACTCAGGTATCCTGTCGTTGATGCAATAAAATATGTCTTTAATTCTAAGAGTAAAGCTGCACTATTATTTCAATTACTGTATAAGTAATTTTTTTCGCATGGTATTAATTTACGCTATGTACGCGCTCACAAATTTTCCGCTGAAAATTGTCCAAACGTACTTAATATAAATGTTAGGCATATAGTGACCGTCTAGGAAATCCGCGTAATTTTCTCCACGCGGATTCATCAGAAAATGAGACTCCGCGGAATTATGACCCCGTGGAAAAAAGTACGTCTACAGTATCTTAAAGGAAATGTAAGAAAGACAACTTAACATTTTGACATCGAAGATATTTCAGAAAGTTTTGTTTAACATCGGGACACATCTTAGGATTATCATAAGTCTCATCTTTAGAGAATGTGAAACTCGGCCTGGTCGTTAAAACGAAAGTTTGACCTTGAATATATATATATATATTTTTAGGATGTATTGGACCGTATTGTGTTGTACCCTGTAGTAAGGGGTGTTGGGAAGGTACATGTGCGAGTTCTGGGTACTGTGACAAAGGTTGCTTGATTGGTTATTTTGGAGATTACTGTGAAAAAAACTGCAGTTCTTCCTGCCCTTTTGCTTGTGATAGAACAACTGGTGTTTGTGTGGGAGAATGTGAAAATGGTTATTATGGCAGGGATTGTCAGATCAGGTGCAGTACTAATTGTAAAGAAAACTGCAATAAACTCACCGGTACCTGTGATTATGGTTGTATAAATGGAAAATTTGGCGAGACGTGTCTGGATGAATGCAGTCCTGGATGTGATACCAGGTGTGAAAGAATCTCAGGAAACTGCAATTGCAGACAGGGATGGCAAGGATATAAATGCAATGGTACATTTAAGGGAAACAAATCAAGAAAAATATGCTTACATTTGTAAATAAGGTTACATGTAATCATATTTTTTTTTCTGTTCATTACGGAACTTTTTTACATGTAATTTTTTATTCATTTAACTTTTTTTGCAAAAAAATAATTTCCCCAATAATATTACACTTTTATGTTTATTTAATGTGTTTTAAAATTAATATTATAAACTAATTTTTTTTTCAATATACTTTTATATAAGAAAAGTACTATATAGTATCTAAAGCAAAGTTGAATAGAAAAACAATTTTAATTTGGATATAGAATGCAGAGCTGACTTCTACGGTTCAGACTGTTCTAAGAGGTGTAGCAGTAATTGTCTTGGTGGACATTGTCATGCAGAAAACGGTACTTGCTTTGATGGATGTCAAATAGGCTACCAGGGCCATCAATGTACTATAGGTAGGGGACAAAATGCATAATT